AAGCCAGCCTAGGTCACATGCCCCACCCTGATTTGCATTCCCTCTTCTAGCTCAGAGAGCTCATCCTCTCCTGGGAAAGACGTGCCAATCCTCATGAGCTCACCCCCAAGTGAAAGTGAGGGCCACGGGGCCTCGCCTGGGGTCCTCGGCTTCCACCAAGGCTCCCGGGCAGGATAATGCTTTCCCAGCACCATCCACCCAGACTTCTTGGTAACCTGATGGTCTGAGACAAACTCTCTTCCTGCTGCCACTGCTAATGACATTACATTGTCTTAATAAGGTCCCCAGAGCTGCCAGGAGTGGGAGGACTAAAAAGAAAATACAGAAGAAAAAAAAAAGCAGCCAAGGCTCCTGGCCTTGTCTGAGAGCAGACAGCTGCTGGGCGGTCCGGAGCGGCCAGCATTTGGCTTGCACTGGAGCCAGGGGGTTGGGGACTGAAAATTGCGACCTCAGTGGGATGTTGGTAGGCGATCCAGTGGGAACTGGGGAAATCATGGCTCACCAGAGATGGACTCCTCAGGGTGCAGAGGGTGTCCATCCTTTCCCAGGGCCTCCGTGGGACCTCTGTTGTCTCGGGGCTGGTCCCTTCTCCAGTGTTGCCTTCACTATGTGCCCTGCCAGACATGGCTGGAGCACCTCTGAGAGCCAGGCTGCAGACAGATGCAGGGGCTACAGGAGGGAAGATGCCCAGCCACAGTCTCCAGAAGCTCCCCGGACAGGCTGCCTGCTCTCGAAGACTGATGTGGTGGGATAGGAGGAATTAAGAGACTTCCAAGGCCTTCAGAGGCCCAGGGCCAGGCCCGGTTGGCAATGATGATGGCTGGAGTTGGGGCAACAAGGCAGGGGGGGCCACCTGCGATGTGGGTGGGCAGGGACAATACCCACCCAGTGCAGCAGCATCCCTTTGCCTGCAGAGAGGACAAATACCTTCTTGTCTTCCTGGCTCACATGCTACCCCCGCTCCCACCCCCTTCTTCCAGGCCCGTACTAGGGGCCATCTCTGGCAGAACCCCGCAGTCCTGACCTTTGGCCCTGGCTTCCAGACTTTCTGGGAGTAGAAGGTAAAGGACTCCTGATGAGGCGGGTCGGGGCAACCTCGGCTCTGCTCTATTTCCTGGGGCTGTTCCTCTTTCTCATGTCAGAGCCAAAGACTCGTTTCAGCAGGAGCTGTCTCTCTGTGGCCAGCGCAGGCACCAACTGGCCTTTCTCAGGCAGAAATTGGTGACCTTGGACCAGGCTGGGGGAGTGTAAACATGGACTCAGGCACAGGCAGAGGCACTCGGAGTCCAAGTGATTATGAGGTCACTAGAGCTTAGGAGAGGACAGCATGGGGCCAGAGAAACACAGTCTGGAGGAAGCCTTTGAGGGCCTGGCTGGGGCTCCAGGGGTGTCTCACATCTGGAACAGTCGGTGGTGAGACAACTGGTAGGACTGGCTGAAATCTAGAGTCCCCTTGGAAGTGAGGTTCCTGACACCAAGGAATAAACAACAGGATGGTGGGGGAGGCCTCAGTCCCTTCTAGGGGACCCACAGAATGAAAGCAGCAGGAAGGGTCTAGGGACGGAAAGGGCTCTGCTGGAAGGCCCCCCGGCCCCTCCACCATGTTGTGGCTGCCAAAGTCATTAGGAATGATGTCCCCATGGTGCGTGGACATTGTGGGAGTTGGTATCTGAGGCCATAACTCGGAACCTGGGCCAAAGGGCCACCTTGCAGGGGGAGGGTAGGCCCCTCCAATATCCCCTAGGAGGGACGGGAGGGGGGTCAGCATCAAGGGGAGAGGAAAGGAGATCTGGCCAGAGAGTAGAAGCTCAGCGGCCATTAAGACTCGGGCTCCAGAAAGGGAAATAGCATCCAAGAGGAGGACGTGAGGGCAGCAGGTCTGCGGCCAATCAGCCCCAGGGAGTCGCTTGGCCTTGCAAGGGAGTCTGGGAATTCCGAGTCAAAGAGGCAGCAGCTGCTGCTTTAAGTGGCTGCTGAAGAGCCTCCAGCTGGGGAAGGAGGGCGGTGATACGGACGGTGGCTGCAGGAAGTCAGCCACAAAGAAGGTCCCCATGGAAAGGCTGCAAGGAGACTTGGCTGCAGAGAGAGCGACGGGAAACCTTGACCTGGACAGGCCAGGATAGGGGCTCTGGAAGACCTCCTTTCGGTCTTGCAGGGCAGCTCTGTGGAGGGGGCAGAAGGGAAGCAAAGACCCAGTGATTCTGAAGAATGTGACAGGGAGGGGGCCCGGGAGGGTTCAACTCGACAGCCGCAGCCCACACGGCAAGATAAAGTCCCTATGTGAGGACGCCAGGAAAATCTCCAACCTCCCCCACTCCGGGGGGTCTCTGCTCCTGGGAACGGGGGCACCCAAGAGCTTGTCTGATCTTTCTCAGGAGGGTCAGAGCCCAGTGGGAACCGAGTGAGGGGGAGGTTTCGATGGAGGCTGGAATGCAGCTGCTTCAGCTGGAGACAGGCCTGGGGGCCCAGACGGCTGTCTTTCTGCTGAGCAGGAGTAAACCGGAGGGAGGGCAGGGCAGATAGCTGGCCGGCAGAACCGCCCCACGGCTGATCTGGCCTGGAGGGGTGTAAGACTGCAGGCACAGAGGCCACCCTAAGTGATCATCAGGAATGTGCTGGGAGGGAGCGTTCTGGAATGCAACCTCCTATACAGCACAGCATCCAGGCCCGAACCAGGAGGCCTACACAGAGAATGCTCTAGTGTCAGGAGGGCCAGGCATCTCACTGTCTTGACTGACCAAGGTTAAAATTTTCCCTAGGAAAGGCAGGGCCGACAGCCTGGTGGGGCCCTCCCAGGAAGCTGTGTGTGGGAAAGCCTGGAAGGGAGGGGGTGGGGAGGGAAAGGAGACGGGAACTGAGGGTGCCATACCCTGAGACGCACATCCCGTTGAAGCCTCAGACCTGGGTCTCCCCTGAAGGGAACTATGTCCCCATTAAGGGGCCAGGCATGGAAGTTAGGGAGGAGGACCCTGGATGGCAGAAGGGGGCCCTCTGGGCTGACTCAGGGGCTGGCTTCCCTGGGTCTGGCCTGTGAAGAATGTCCCCATCTTAGAAGTCATCCCCAGGGGCCTGGGCTGGGTGTCACAGGCTGGAGAGAGGCCCTGGGTGGAGATGAGTGAACTGGACTTGAATTCAGGTTGTGCTCTGATCGATCTCCCTTCTGATAGCCCAGCTTTTGTCAAGCCTGGGGTAGGTGTTCTAACCTGGCCTGTGGATCTAAGGTGCATTCAGGAGGAGGTGGGGGCGGCAGGGCCACTAGTGAGGGACACTGAGGTGGGGTGAACCTTGGGGACTTTGGGTCCAGCGGCTCTGCAGTGATAACAAGAGCACCTTGAGGTCAGCATTGTCGGGCAGAAGGGGACACACCCTGGGCATGTGGGGCCTTGCCCCTTTGCACCTGGAAATTCTCACTGTCGGCTCAGAGCATCTGGGAGAGATTCTGTTTGGGGTTTCCCTCACAGAGGCAGCTGTGAGGAGGCCCAAGGCGCCCTGGAAACAGTCTTGTCCTTCAAAGCAGTCACCAAGGAGCCTGCAGAGCTGTTTTAGCAATGCCACTGTCACCTGAACGTAGTCCTGATGGCCTCCTCTGGCAACCTCAAATAGTTTTCAGGCTACCAAAGAGAGTGGGTCCCATTACTTTAGAGGACTCATCTTGTTTTTCCCCAAAAAAGCCTTGTCCCTGATTTGATATTTAACCTGCTTCAAAAAGTTTCACCCTATCCTCAAAGGCCAACACTTCAGACCCACCAGGGGAAATCCAGAGAACAAGCCCCCAGCAGTTCCCAGAGATGAATTTCTCAGAGGACGTGGGGTGACACAGCAGTACCACTGGAATAATGGGGGTCTCTCAGGGTGAGTTCTTTGATGGGGACAGTGGCAGTGTGGGCAAAGGACTGAGTCTAGTAACTCATGGTCACACAGCAGGTATCCACAAGGCTCTGTCCACATCTGACATGCTGAAATGACCAAGCCCTCACGCAAGGCCACTCACCAGAACCTCCCCCACTGTGGACATGGCTGGGAGGTCAGCCTCACATCGGTGACCACCAACGGTACCAACGGACCATATTTTCCCCAAATGAGGCCCATCAAAACCCAGCAGTGGACAGATCTGACTCACATGATCCCACCAGTCAGTTCTGACTACAAAAGCTGCTGCTCAGAAAAGGTACACACCCCACATTTGCTGAATGAGATAGAGTCTATATAAGATGAAAGGTTCATAATGTATTGATTTCAAATTTCAAATTCTATAATAGCATAAAGTTAATCCTCTTCCTAACATGGAGAGTCAAGGGGACAACATAAAGAAGGCCCCTCCTTTAGGTCTGACCCAAAAGAGGATTGAAAGGGCCTGTAGGGGTCTCTGTAGTCTCCTGGTCACACATTTTGCTGTCACACATGGACTGGGGTTCAAGTGCCAGCTCTGCCATTTTCCAGCTGTGCTTATGAGTGGCCAGCTGGCCACTGAGAGATGGATTGCTCATCTGTGCACAAAGGCCATGGCACCTCCTGGTTTTCCCAGGGCATGGCTGGGATGAGAGTATATGTAATACACTTAGGACAGCCCCTGACATGTTGAATGTGCACCAGATAAAATAAAGGGGCTGCAGGCCATTGGGGAGCATCAAACTGGCTCAGTGGGTCTACAGTGGGGAAGGGGAGAGGGAGGCCAAGCCAGTAAGGTGCTGGGGCCCCTCACTGCTGCCTTAACCAGAACAGCTCTGCTCTGATCTGTACTATAATTTGGCCTTCCATCTAATATTGTATTTAAGAAAATATTTTAGCTCTTCAAAGAGTTGAAAATTACTACACCAGGTCATGCCTAGCATGCCCTCTGGCAATGACCTTGACATGTGTTTAGGATCCAGTTTGGTCTCCCCTGGAATGGGTCTCTCCCTCCATCCTGGCCCTCCATGCCCCCTCTGCTGTCATCACCGTGGCCTCTGGCCCTGTCCCAGCACCCCTCAGACCCCCCGCCCAAGGGCTGCGGTGCGCACCTGGTGAAGCGGACCTCACAGATGTTGCACATGTATGGCTTCTCCCCGGTGTGGGTCCTCATGTGCCGCGGTAGCTTCCCGGCCCCCATGATGACTTTGTGGCAGATGGGGCACTGCTGAGAGGCCTTGGGCTTCAGCTTGCGCTCCTCTACCAGTGGCCAGGGTGGGAAGAGGCCCCCCAGATGGGTGGCACTCAGGAAGTTGAGATAGGCACCGTAGTCATTCTCTGCCTTGATGGGGCCCAGTGGCCCCCCAGGAAGGTCTGGGAACATGTCCTTGAAAAAGTCATTAGGGAAGGGCGGTGGTGGAGGTGGGGGCAGCTCCTCCTTCTCCTCCTCCTTGATCTTCCGGTTCTTGATGACAAGGTCCAACGGCCCACTGTCCATAGGCTGCTGAGGCAGCTGGGCAAAGGCACCGAAGTCCCCTGGCCAGAGGTGTGGGAAGAAGTCCGGGGCAAACGGAGATAAGGAGGGCCTCCTGTCGGGGATGTTGGCTTTGGGGTAGAGGTTCTCCCTCAGCAGAGATTCGATGGAGAAGTCCCGGATCACACCCAGATGGCCAGGGCTGCCAGCCTGGAAGGAATCAGGGAAGTCCCTGGGTGTGTCTGCATAGGCCTTCTCCGTGAGATGGTCAGTCTTGGAAGGGCTTTGGTGGCAGTTGATGTCCTGGGGGTCAGGCAAGTTTTCTTGATCAGCAAAATCCTCTGTGTCATCATCCTCCTCCTCCTCTTCCTCCTCCTCCTCCTCTTCATCCTCCTCATCATCATCATCTTCGTCATCATCATCGTCCTCCTTGTCGTCCTCCTCCCCTCCGTCGCCCCCGGGCTCCATGATCTCCAGGCACACGTTCACGATGCACTGGATCTCCAGCATCCTGGCGGCGTTGAGGATGTGCTTGACATTGGAGGCCGTGATGGTGAGCGTGGAGGTGTAGGCGAATTCCAGGATGGCGGCCAGAGCCTCGGGCTGGACAAAGTCGATCTCATAGACATACGGCTGGCTGGCTAAGGTGCCGGCCGTGAAGAGCTTCTTGAAGTACTTGCTGCAGGCGGCCAGGACGGAGCGGTGGGTGCGGTACTCCTGTTCCTGCACCACCAGGAGCACATCGCAGAGCAGGCCGTCATGTCGCTGCTCGTTCAGGCTACACAGGACCTCGCTGCTGTGGTTGGGGAAGGGAATGCCAATGAGCTCGTCAATGCCATTGGCCATGTTCTCAGACAGAGCCCTGCAGGGACACACAGAGAGGGAGACTGGGGTTAGAGGACATGGTCCCAGAGGGGGACACTTAGCTCTGGGACTCTGGATGAGGGGGGCGAGGCTATTGGGCATACTTGGCCACACCATCCCTGCCTAAGCTCCCCACCCCCACCCCTGCTGCTGGAAAGCCAGCCCTCCTTCCTCTCAGCTTTTCCAAATCTCACCGGCCACCCAGAGCTCAGCTCACTAGCTGGGGCTTCTCACTGCTCCACTGGGCTCTCTCCCTGGACTCCTACGGCCCTGGAGTTAGGCTTCTCATTGGGCAGTTGGGGTAGGCTAGTTACAGAGGCTATGGAAGCTTCTGCGGGCGTAATTTCACTGAATTCCATTTTGTTAACATGCCATTGTGGACCACCAGGAAGGACAGCCACATGAAACCCAGCTGCCAGTGTGCTACCGGAATGGCGTCCACCACCCACTAGCACAACATCTGGGGGTCTAGGACCAAAGGGGGAACATTCTCTCACGGCTCAGCGCTCCTGCTGGGAATATGCTGTGGTTTATCCCACAAATCCTCTGACTCCTGTAACAGACGAACGTTTTGCATTGACTACTGTTATGGGCCAAGTTGTGTACCCCGTCAAGTTCATATGTTGAAGTCCTAACCCCCAGCCCCCCAGGATGTGACTGTTTGGAGGCAGGTCCTTTAAAGAGGGGATTAAGGTTAAAATGAGGTCAGATGCATGAGCCCTAATCCAGGATGACTGGTGTCCTTATAGAAAAGGATATTAGGACATAAGAACACAGAAGTCTGCGTGAAGACAGAGGGAGAAGATGACCATCTGTAAGCCAAGGAGAGAGGCCTCAGAAGAAACCAACCTGCCGATATCTTGGTCTTGGACTTCCAGCCTCCGGAACTGTGAGAGAATAAACGTCTGTCATTTAAGGCCCCTAGTCTGTGGGACTTTGTTATGGTGGCCCTCGCAAACTAATACAGCTACTAGGAATCTGAAAACTGAATTTGTGGCCCATTTTCAGCAAGGGAATTGGGGCCTTGTGGGATATGTTTTGCCTTCTGACCTTACTTCTGGATTCATCTTAGGTGATGAAGTTTCCCTTCATTTGCAATTCTTGATCTTTTTTTAAAAAAAATACTGACATCCTATATGTGTATATCGGAGAGCCGTTTCACCTATAAGTCAACATTTCAATTCAATCTTAATTTGAGTGCATTGTTAGTTAATTTATCATGTCTGTATTCTGTTACCCTCAGGGAAAGATGCCCCCTAGGAGGAGAAGCCATTCTGAGATTTCTTAGCATTATAAATATTAGACAGAAAGTGAGGCCAGTGACAGCAGCCAGGAGGGAGAGGTCCAACGGCAGCGGGCAGCCCCTCCTCTCAGGGAGCAGAACTCAGAGCCCGAGGCAGCAGGCTCAACCTGGACCAAAGGCTGCCTCAATGTTTATGCCAGAGCACGTAGGGCCTTCTGCTTAGAGCAAAGCTTGACCGACTGTGGTCCGTGCATAAATTCTAGCAAAGGCCTGGCCCTTATCCTGGTGCAATTACAGTGGGGAGAAAATAAAAAGAAAACCCAAACCTGAAAGCCACACGCCCCAGTGGGAAGAGCTTTGGGAATCCCCACACATTTACCTTTTGGGTGTTTCTTTCTGGGAAAGCAGATGCAGGGGGAGGGGAGGAGCAAGAAGTGCCAGGCCCATAATACCCAAGGCACCAGGGACCCAGAAGAGCATCCAGGGTGCTGGGTGCTCCCTCCCCCCAGACGCCCGAGCCTTCCCTGAGCTATCCCACCTGGGCAGGTGCTCAGGAGGTTTCCTGGAGCAAAGGCCTTGCTGCTGTTTTCCTGCCTTCTCATCTTTAAAAGCACCAGGGACCCCACAGGCCATGAATTCATTCCCTAAATAGTCATTGGGTTTCTTCCTGTGCCAGGCACTGCCCAGGGTCCCGGGGATGCAGACAGAACAAAGCAAGAAGGCCCTACTCTAACAGAGCTTACACAGACACGACCGCTGTGACAAAAATAGAGCCAGAGTCACCGAAGAGGACGTAGAGAAGGCAAATGAGCCATCTTCTTTGAAAAAATGTTCAATGTCATTAGACTTTACAGAAATGCAAGTTAAAACCACAATGAGATATCACTAGATACCTATCAGAATGGCTAAAATAAAAGACAGTGACAACACAAAATGCTGGCAAGCATGTGGAGAAACTGGATCTCAAATGCATTGCTGGTGGGGATGTCAACTGGCACAGCCTCCCTGGAAAACAATTTGGCATATGACCCAGCAACTGCACTATTAAGCATTTATCCCAGAGGAATGAAAACTTATGTCCACACAAAGACCTGCACACAAATGCTCATCACAGCTGTATGCATACTAGTCAATAACTGGAAAGAACCAAGATGTCCTTCCACGGGTGAGTGGTTAAACCAACTACACCATGGAGTACTAGTCAGCGATACACAGGAATGAGCTATTGACGCACATGACAACCTGGACGAAGCACAGTGATAAAAGCCACTGCCAACAGGTTACAAACTGTGTGAGGCCTTTTATACAACATTCTTGAGATGACAGCATTATAGAAATGGAGGAGAGGTGGGTGGTTGCTAGTAGCTAAGGAGGGGCTGTGGGGAGGAGGGGGTGGGCATGGCTATAAAAGGACAACAAGAGGGATATCCTCACGGAGATGGAAATGTTCTGTATCAACATCAATATCTTGGTTGATGTTGTACCATGGTTTCCAAAAATGTCACCACTGGGGAAAACTGGGTTAACAGTCCATGGGATATCTGTATTATTTCTTAAAATGACATGTGAAATTGACAATTATGTCAAAAGTAAAAGCTTAATTTAAAAAATCATAGAAAACCACCTAAATCAATCAATCACTCTCCACCGTCATCTCCATCTCGTATCTGTGTCTCTGTAGCAGTGTGTGAGGCGTTGCGTGGTGGGGGAGACTACCCAGGGCCGTCGGGGGGCCCTCCTTGAAGAAATGACATTTGAGCTGAGGCCTGGATGGTGAGAGGGATCCAGTCATGGGTAATGTAGGGAACAGTGTTCTAGGCTGTAGGAACAGCAAGTGCAAAGCAAGCAGACCCACCAAGGTGCTCTAGGTCTGGGAGGCCAAGTGTGGCTCTGAATGATCCCATATAACTTGGTTCTTGTCTACCGAAACCCCATTCCACTTCTGCATCTCTCTGGGGGCCTCAGATGGACCACATCTACCTAGATCCCCCTGAGGCCATGGGTAGGACTCCCCTTCTCTCTGACCAGGGAGGGTGTCCCCAGGCCACAGGCTTCAACCATCTGTGCCACAGAGAGAGCTCTGAGGCTGCCCCCCGACCGCCCGCAGAAAGAGAGAACCTTCTGGAGGCTCTCCCCTTTCCCTGTACCCCACGGCTGTCCCACTCTAATGGTGGGGGTCAGAGGGATGTGGAAGGCTCCGAAGCTAGGGAAGCCGAGGGGCTCATGGCCATGCCTGCTGCGGGTCTCAGGAGGGCTGCTTTGTAGGCAACCGGGCTGGGGGTCAGCAGGTTAGCCCCTCTGAGTCTCTGGTCAGAGAAGAGACCTCAAGTCTGAGCAACATTTGGTTTTGAATGGTCAGAGCCAAGTGCAATGTGACCTTCTGTCTATTGAGTACAGGGACCCAAGGACACTGATCCCCACCTCTTTGGCCCCCAGCTCCCTGCTTCAGGCCCTATGGGAGAGACCGGAAGGATATCAGGGCCAATCTCAGCCGGCACCTTCTCTCCGCAGGCCAGGTCCCAGCCTTAAACAATGCGTTTCCTGAATGAGGGATCCAGACCACCATCTGCCCTCAGGCGTGCTCAGTCTTCACAATAACTTGGATTTAGCTCCTATTATTATCATCATCCCCATTTTACAGATGAGGTAAATGAGGCACAAGAGGATAAATCACACAGACAGTAAGTTATGGCATAACGATCTGAGCCTGAAGTCTGGCTCCCCAGCCACGGTCTTAACCACAACCAATCCAGCTCCTGCCTCCGACCCACAAAGGTAACCAAGAATGGCCAGTAGTCTCTGCTGTCGCCTGAGTGGCCCAGACTTCGGGCACTCAGAGGTCCTTGGGGTGCCTTTGTGGAGGAGGGTGGGAAGGATGTGGGTCAGCGGGGGAGGGTGGCCCTGCTTTCCTTCAGGGGGACAACCAAGCAGGCTTGGCCAGCCTCAGGAGCTGGAGCACCAAGAAGACCTCCCCAGGGGGAGGCCTGATGGCGTAGTGGTTAAGTTTGCCTGCTCTGCTTTGGCAGCCCAGGATTTGCCCATTGGGATCCTGGGCACAGACCTACATGTGGCTCATCAAGCCATGCTGTGGAGGCATCCCACATAGAAAGACTAGAAGGACTTACAACTAGGATATACAACTATGTACCGGGGCTTTGGGGAGAAAAGAAAAAAAGAGGAAGATTGGCAATAGATGTTAGCTCAGGGCCAATCTTCCCTTCTCAGAGCCAGGGGAGGGGTTCCTCTCAGACCCCTGGGAACACACCTGCTTGCTCCCCAGGCAGCCTCCCTGCTCTGTGGAAGTGGCCCCCTTGGTGGCTGTCTTGACAAAGCTCTGCCAGGGGAAAGAGGAGGAGGGGAGAGGAGGAGATGGAGCTGAGGCTCAGTCAGGCTTTCCCATCCCACCTTCTGAGCACAACTGAATGGGCAGTCACCCGGATGGGGTGACCGGCCACAACACTCCCCTCAGATGTGCCCCAAATACACCCCTCTTCCTCTACTCTCCAATCCCCAAACACGAATCCTGCTCCTCAGCCTCGATGCCTTTGCTCATGCTGAACTCCCGGCTGGAGAACATCCCGCATCTTTCATCTCCAGCACCCACCCTCTCCAGGGGTCCGTGTCCCACCCGTGCTTCAAGGACCCACTCAAACGGCCCTTTCTCCGTCTCAGTTCAGAGGCCGGGCCTCTCCAGCCTTTGTTCCCCTGAACACATGATGACGCCTGTCATTGATTTTCCTCTGCCTTGGACTGTA